TGGACTATAATTCCAAAGGTTCAATAGGAAAAAAAATATTCCCTGGTCGTGAGTTCAGGGGGCTTGAAGCCAAGATAGACAGATTGGTGGTAAACCGCCAGTCGTAAAGCAATTCTGAATCTGATTTTATAGAGAACCATTTTTAGAAGAATATATTTTAAGTGACTAAAGTAAGCGAAACTTCCGAACACAATTTGTTCTACCGTTGCAACACATTTGTTTGAACACTTTAATCGTAACTGGCTGTTTGAAAGAAATTACCTGTAGGCAATAATCCTTGCAACGTACTTCATTCATTTCATTCATCAGTAATCTGTCAAGACGACAGGTCCACAGTCTCTTCCAAAACAGTTCCTCCACTTGATGCGATCTACAGCTTTCTCCTTCAAATGAAAATATCCTCTTCTGTCCCCAAGGTCATCCAGCATCTTCTTACGTCTTCTTCCTCGTCTTCTGGTCACTTCTATCCGCCCCTCTATCTTTCCTTCAATAACTTCTTTTAGAAGGCAGTTATAGCTCCGCAAAATGTTCACACTTCCGCTGTGGTCAAGTAAACCCCCACCCAAGACTTCTGTCGCGCGCCTTTAAAGGTACGCGTATCACTAGCTCAGAAACATTGATTTATATGAGATTCGAAACTGGAAGTGCTAAGCGTGTTTCAGAAGTGTACGTAAACCCAAAAAACAGGAAGTGGCACTGCAGAGCGCGTATACGCTACAAGAGTCACGATGCGTCACTCTGCCACAATGCAGCTGTAGCCACTGCCCCTATACCTTTCTCCACACCTCTCACTTCCCCTCACGCGCTATCCAAAAGACCAGGCCTAAAATCACGGCCCACACTCCGGATAATTTATTTGCCATTTCCGGCTGCGAGAACACATCACGTGACCCTTCCATGTTAAAATCGCGCCGCGAAGTATCGGTCCAATTACAGGACCCCTGTGTACACAACAACCGTTGTCATGACAACCTTCACCTGGAAACCACAGCAGGGTGCAGGTCCACTGCCGCCCCACAAGAGATCGCTGGTGTATGGGAATTAACACTTGGCAGTCCGACATCCGAAATTACGACGAATTTATACTAAACTTCGTGCCTCTGGGCTCCTGCAGCTTCGGCAAACATTAAAATTAGAGCTACACAGAAATTAGCAGCAGAAATTTATTAGGGACGGGGAAGTTTTAACCTTGTTTGCTTATATTTTTGGTTTGTTTACTTGTTGCCTTGTGCAGCTGAAACAACACGGCGTCAAATGATGGAATGAAGAGGGTCGGAAATGAAGTGGTCGTGGCCTAATCTTAACTCAACCCCGGCATTTGCTTCGCCAGAGACTGGAAAAAGCCATGAAAGCCCTAGGTATGGATAGAGAGTTTCGGGATCGAGTTTTTAACCCAAGGCCCTGGGAAAATGAAATAGGAGCGGTAACCACCTGACTGTGGCCTTCAGTCACGTTCCTCTCACTTCTAAAAACTTGCTCAGGAAATCTGTTCTCAGAACGGACTGGGTCTCGGCAAGCCTCACAGCACAAGAACTGGCGATAAACAGCTGCCTCAGAGCAAGCAGCACTGCAGAAACCGCAGCTGTGAGCTACGTGCAGTCCAACTGCCGCGCTAACTTGCTCAGGAAATCTGTTCTCAGAACGGACTGGGTCTCGGCAGGCCTCACAGCACAAGAACTGGCGATAAACAGCTGACACAGAGCAAGCACCACTGCAGAAACCGCAGCTGTGAGTTACGTACAGTCCAACTGCCGGCTAACTTGCTCAGGCCTGTATTCTGTCTCCGTCTTCAGGTGGAACCTGCTCGGTTGGGCTCAATCGATACAGCCAGTCCCTGGTCCCCGAAACGTCGCGTTTTAAATAAAACATAATGGAAAATATTCAGAAACATGTTTACATTAATGTTACATCGTCACAAACTTTTAGATTTTATTTTCTCAGGTCTACTGGAAATTACAGTTCTACGGCCTTCTTGAAAAATTCTATCTTCTGGGATATAACGCTGCGTAGTCAGCTGGAACTCAACCGACGTTTCGGAGGAACATGTAGACTCTATATTCGAGATCAAAAAATAAGCTGAGCAAGAAATCAGCGGGAAACAGGAACCAAGCAGATCATTTTGCTGTCTGTCTGCGTATCCTCCATAATTTTAGAGTAATTTTCTTGCTTTGAAAAAAATATTAGAAGTTTTGGGAATAATTGGCGTTTTCTTTGATACGGGCGTGAAGCAGACAGCAAGCAGAGCGGCTTCGTGCTGGTTTCTTGTTCGGTTTATTCTTCGACCATGAAAATGGAGGCGACACGTCACAATCTCCAGCTCGATTTCTTCAGCCATCGCAACTGTTTCTTATGCGCGCTACGCGTACGCCGAAATGAAAAGAACAGCGCAGACAAGAAGCAGGCAAAAAACGGAGAATGAGCAAACAAATTAAAGCGAAGCAGGTTTTGTCCCTTACAGTTGTCACCAGATGCGTGTGAGGAACGCAGCATACAGGTATACCAACATTGTCAGCAGATCTTCCCGTACTGTACCAAGGCAAACTTTTGTAATTCTCCCCAAATCTCAATGTCTGATCATAGCAATCTCAGAAGGGAAGCGGGTGATCATAACAGAAAACTCAACTCAATTCCACCCCAAACTGATGGAACCTCTGCCCNGGGGGGGGGGGGGGGGGCAGAGGCTTTTCAGTTCGCATTTTCCGTGTCAATGGCTCATTGTGGTGCGGCAGTCGGGACGTACGTTGCGTGCAGCATGCTGCCAGGGGCGCCGTACCTGGCCGAGACTGCTCAACACGAACAGACCCTTCTGAGGATCTGGAAGGAGGCGGCCGTGGCCTGCAGGTGTCTGGGTCGAGATTCGAACACAAGTCTAGAGGATAACCGCTAAGACAAACCCACTCGGTGATAATAATAAAACGAAGCAAGCAGAGGTCAATAATGGAAAGGGAGAGACGGATTCTTCGTGGCGCCTTGGGTCCGACAAGTTACAAAGGACTCGGTTCGGAATAGGTTCCGAAGCGCAGAAGCAAACAGTCAAACACGTGTCAGCTAAAGCAGGCTGCATATGGCTCCAGGGGGCAGGCTCGACGGATCAGGGATTCATGCACAGGATATAGCGCCTGCCGGAAAGTGCAGTTTGCATGCAACCCTCGCTGCAGTAAACATTAGAGAACTTGGATCGATTTCCGTTGGCAAAATAAAAACTTAAGGGTGTGGAGGCGCGGAGGCAAAGCCCCACTGAGCCCTGCACGGGAAGTTAATAGTACGAAAGCTTATGAAACAGACTGAGATTTCCTGTCGAGACGCTATGCAGGATTTGAGGTCTTGACACCGGTGGTTATGAAGAGTTTCGGAGGAATCTGTAACCTCCATCTTCAAGGTGGAGGAACAAGCCAAGCATGAAACCAGCGTATGAGCAGGTAACAAGCAGACCTGTGCAATAGACACTATAAAATAAACACCTCACAACTACTGTAAAATGTTTAAACTATTCGCCTTTCTTCTGTCGGGCGACGTTTCACAGTAGATAAAGGCGACGTGTTCCGACGAAACGTCGGTTGACTTTCAACGGACTACATGGCGTTATATCCCAGAAAACAGAACTGTTCGATTTCACAACAGTTTTGCAATGTTATATTCCTATGCTCATGTACGTAATTCTGTCAGGAAAAAAGTATGCATCCTGCAACAACGTTCGTGATAGTGGAGCCGTTTCCACAGTAACCAGCACAGGAAATAATTCATGGTCGTTGCTAGGCAACTGTGTCAGCAAGCGACACAGAATTCTGGCCAGTTGCATACAACACACAGCGCGATGTACTGGTCCCGTACCTCACCGGAGTAGTCGGTTATGAATTGCCCCTGCCGCGTCGGCATTATGCAAGTCTTGTGACCAAACTGCATCTATCAGTGACATGCAATAAGGGCCGACAGACCTGTTTTATTATTCACGCATGCGCCGGAGGATCCGTGGCACGTCCAACGCTCCTTGGAAGCAACGCCTAGGGTTCGACAGGATTTTCAAACTTGAAGAGTACTTTGATTTGTTTCATTCTGGTCCGTCACAATAACAATTACAAATTATAAATCACTCCGTCCAATGTGATACTACATTGCGTAGTAAAAAACTTACAGGTCACATTGGACGGAGTGATTTATAATTTGAAGAGTACTGTTTTTCCGGGATATGACGCCGTGTAGCTTTGTAGATCGTTATCGATATCGAGAAATTTGCTGCCTCTATCTTCATGGTAAAGGAAATAGCTGGGTACGGATAAAGGGACAGGGACTAGGGCCCTCAGCTAAACAATAGGAGTAAGTATAGCAGCTCGGCTTCCGTGTTCACGTCCTTGCTGGCCGACGACTGTCTCACAACTAACTCCTACTCTTCTCACTGCCGGCTCAAGACTGTCTCGTAATCGCAGCTGCTCCTCGCTATATAGCCTCCGCACTGACCACACAGGAAACACTTCTCCCAACTCTTGGGACTGTTACAGCTATCGCACGGGCCGCGTAGAGAATACCGCTTCCCAGTTACTCCATTGTTGCATGTTGCGAAATCTGTTGCGACAATTCCCTAGCAACGACCGTTGTTTACAGGGCCATTACCTAGCAACGGATGTTGTATGGCTGCTTATTTCGCGGTCGTTGCCTGCAACGGTTCTACATACCACAATATTAAGGAAATTATGGCCCTTCAAAGGGCCCCTCTCAAAGGCACAGCGCTACTGTCTCCTTACTCTGTTCCTCCAAATTTCCTTCTCCCTCGAACAATTTCACTGCTTCTCCCATTCACTGTTCCCTTGGAAAACTGACCTACAGAAGGGCAATATCGCCCTAATTTATATATGTTTTCCCTGCCCCTCCTCCACTTCTCATCCCCCGCACCGCCACTGCCCTGTAATTAGCCACTGCGAGCGTCAATGGAGAACCCTGAACGTAAGTACCCACCGAACCAGACTACTGTTAGTGCTACAGAGACATTCCCATCGGGGGCTCACCTGTTACAGAAAATATCGCGACCAGTAGACATCTGTGTTCCATGCCACTCTGCTCCCTTACCTGAAACATGAAGAAACACCGTCACTGCGACGTTACCTGCGTTACTAACTATCGCCACTCATACATTCTGCCACGCATTCAAATTTCCTGTCACTCACTCACTCAATCACGGAGCTGAGCCCTTCTTGAGAAGCCGCCAGTTGTGCAGCTACTGAAAATTGATCTTAGATAGGATGGGATGGATTGGATTGATCTGGCTCATGATAGGGACCAGTGGTTTGCTCTAGTGAACACGATAATGAAACTTCTGTTTCCGTAAAATGCTGGGAACTTCTTAATATTCTACAGCCACCCACGTCTTGGTCTTCCCAGTGGCCTCCTTCCTTCTGGCTTTCCCACCAATACGCGTACTACATGCATTCCTCTTCTCCCATTTGCGCTAATGTCCTGCCCACCTCATCCTCTTTGACCTGAGCATTCTAATTATACTTGGAGAAGAGTACAAGCAAGTTTCCTCCAACCTCCTGTCACTTCATCTCCCTTCAGTCCAAATATTCTCCTCAGCACCCTGTTCTCAAACACAATGAGTCTATGTTCCTCCCTTACTGTCAGAGACCAAGTTTCACACCCATACAGAACCTAACATAGGCACTTCAAAGTAATCCTCAACAATTATCATGAAACTTCCGTACGGGTTTATCAGAACTGTAGCCAAATAACTGAATCATTTGGACTTCCTTCCGGTCACGTTTCAGTCGATAAAACAGCTAATGCAACGCATATAGGAGGCCATCTCACAACCGTCACAGCACGTCCCTGGGGTAAGTCGCAATACAACACGTATAGGCCACGCACTGTGTATACGTGTGAGAGTGTATCCCTAGGGTAAGTCGCAATACAACACGTATAGCCCATGCACTGTGTATACGTGTGAGAGTGTATCCCCGGGGTAACTCGCAATACCACACGTATAGCCCACGCACTGTGTATACGTGTGAGACTGTATCCCTGGGGTAAGTCGCAATACAACACGTATAGCCCACGCACTGTGTATACGTGTGAGACTGTATCCCTGGGGTAAGTCGCAATACAACACGTATAGCTACAACTCTACTTTTTCTGAAGTGAATCTTTATTGGTAGTTACTATAGGATTCTGACGATGGTGTATAACACACAGAGATATTGGGTTTTCGGACTTCATCCATCGTCCTGGTTTTTAAGATAACTAATAAAAACACGACGTTTCGGAAACTGGATCTGTTTCCGTACTCAGGTGAGGACTCACTGGGTCCAGTGAGTGAGGCTAGCTNGGCCTCTTTGCTGTTAAGTGTGCACGTAAATAAACACGAATTGAATTGAATTAAGCTCACAACCCTATGCGCCTCCACAGCCTCTTACAGGGATACCTTTACTTCTTTTCTACTTTTCATTATTATTATTATATCAAGTTGCACTTGCAGTGTCCGCAGCATGTACACAGAGTGGAAAGTGGAACTGGCCCTCAGTTGCTGCGATATGAGGGCAGAACTGTGGAAGAGTGTCTGGAAACCGCAGCTACAGATGGGAACTGTCACATTTCCCCTTGAATTTTACCCGTATGAAGGGCATTTCACAATGGCTGACACATTTGCCGACCTCACCTGCCGATAACCAAGTTCTAATAATGTCTATCCGCTTCGAATGTTACTGGACACCTGATAACACCTGCTGTCACCTTCACGGACTGCACACGAGGCCTCCCGCACACTCGCTTCTGCAGTACGTGACTCCCACACATCAGAACGTACAGACTTCTTTACGTCACTTCATTATGGCGTGGAAAGAAGTTCTCAATTTCAAGGCCTTGAAACGTTCATTACCGTGTTCACAAAATCTCAGCAAGAGATCTCATGTACAGCAAGTTTAATCCAATCCAAATATCATATTCCTACATGATCCATTTTAATATTATTCTACGGCCAAGGACTACATTTCTGAAGTGACAGCTCTATTTGCTACCCGTTTTCTTGCTTGGTTTGTTGTTCGGCCCTGATAATGGAGACGATTTTTTCCTCTGTAACATCGGTTGAATTCAACCAAACTATGCGGCGTTACAACCCGAAAGACCGTGCTATTCGTTGTCACCTCACTCACTCATGGAGCTGAGCCCTTCTTGAGAAGTAGCCAATTGTGCAGCTACTCAAGAACTTCCCAATATTTCATGGAACCTGAGAGTTTATTACTGTGTTCATAAGTTCCCTCCAATGGTCCTTGTCATAAGCCAGATAAATCCACTCAATACCATCCCATCCTATCTCTCTAAGATCCATTTTAATACTGTCCGCACATCTACGCTTTTGTCTTCTCAGTGGTCTCATTCCTTCCGGCCTTCCCACCACTATCGTATATGCATTCCTCTTCTCCCCATTCGTGCTACATGCCCTGCCCACCTCATCCTCCTTGACTTCACAATTCTAATTATACTTGGAGAAGAGTACAAGTTATGAAGCTCCCCATTGTGCAGTTTTCTCCATCCTACTGTCACTTCATCTCTCTCCGGTCCAAATATTCTCCGCACAAATTCTGCTCCTATTTCCAGCTTCTCTTTTCGTATTGTATAAATTTCTTACAGGCTGATTACAGAACAAATCTTACGACGTTACGTAATCTTGGCCTAGATAAACCACACAGCATTTGAGCATGTTGCTTTCAAGTGCTACCTCAGAAGTTTGCACGGTAGTCCCTGCCGTACTACTGTGGGCTGAGATCACTAGGTGGGGAACTGTACTGAAGCTATGCAGTAGCGTCGAGACCTCGCCTCCTAATGAATCGGTCCCGGGGGCTCTTTCCGCGCAGGCAAATCGGCCGGCGCATGAAGCTGACCACATACCTCCACATGGCAAAGGTAAAGCAAACGCTGTAACAGGCCGTCGAGGTCCACAGAGCTGTGAGACGTCGAGGCTCCCACATCTTCTCTAGACAGTCGGCTCACAGATGGGGGCGACGCTGCCAGCCTTACGTGTCGGCCGCTCTTTACCCCCAGGAAGATTCCTGGTACTCATTTCTGTTAGAGGCTGAGTCGACTCCAGGGCCATTGTGTGGCTGGAAGGATTAGGTCAAGTGAAAAAATCTAACGACATCGAAAATCGAACCCGCGACTTTCCGGCTTGTAGCACAATGCCCCTGAGGAACTTGCGTAGCTAAGAAAAAAAGGCGATTTCCTCCACCGTGAAGAAACATGAGCTCGGAAGGCGTCGTCGCCGCCACGGCAACGCCTTCATTCGCTTCTTTGCCAGCGCTGGTTAAAAGGAAATAAATCAGTGAGACAGACGTTCGCAACGGGAGGTCCCCGATCTAATGCAACTCAAACAGCATTCAACCGCCCCCCATCCGCTGATGTGCCCCAACGGGAACCCCCCCCCAACCCAACATTTACTTCACTCGCCAACCACAACGTTCTCAGATTCACACTCGTACATCGAAAACTTTTAATGTTGTCACCCGACAGTGCACTCCACACTCATACACTGTCAGCAGGCGCAAAGTGCAGCTGACAGGTGCTGAGCCTGTGCACTCCACACTCATACACTGTCAGCAGGCGCAAAGTGCAGCTGACAGGTGCTGAACCTGTGCACTCCACACTCGTACACTGTCAGCAGGCGCAAAGTGTAGCTGACAGGTGCTGAGCATGTGCACTCCACACTCATACACTGTCAGCAGGCGCAAAGTGCAGCTGACAGGTGCTGAGCCTGTGCACTCCACACTCATACACTGTCAGCAGGCGCAAAGTGCAGCTGACAGGTGCTGAACCTGTGCACTCCACACTCATACACTGTCAGCAGGCGCAAAGTGCAGCTGACAGGTGCTGAACCTGTGCACTCCACATTCGTACACTGTCAGCAGGCGCAAAGTGCAGCTGACAGATGCTGAACCTGTGCACTCCACACTAGTACACTGCCAGCAGGCGCAAAGTG